GGAAGGCTCTCAAATTTATTCCTCTGCAAGATTAATGTCTCCAGTTGAATTAATTTGTCACAGTTTTGAAAAAGAAGATCTGTTAAATCATTCTTAAAAAAATTTAAGTATCTAAAGGAACTGTCAGACGAAGGACACAACATATGTATCATCTCTGATTCAGCTATTGTCAAGGCTGCAATATTCATGTCTGCAAATATTTTGTATAGGTGATCCTGTGAGAAGTACAGATCTGTGATTAAAACTTTCTTCATCGTCCATGCTTTCATAGAGGTACCTGAATAGTCAAAGTTATAGCTTTCGATGTTCGACAATTGTGTTACGCTGTTAATATTGAAGTATTCAATGGACGAGTGCCACACAGTCTGAAAAATTGCAGTAAGAGCAGTCCAGTCCACTGACACATTTGTCAGTGTCAGATTTTGTAACCTGGAGCCTTGTCTGAAATTAGATAATAAAGCTAATAACTTTTTTACATTGTCATTTGTGATTTCTGACAATGACAGGCTCTCTGTAGTATTTTGTATCACAACCCAGTCAAAATTAGCTTTGGACTGATGACTATTTGTATACAGCAGTGGCAGGCTCTTGATGTTTTTGTCAGAATTATCTTTTGGAAAACCATTAGATATAGATGTAAAGAGTTCATTTTCCACAGACAGGCTGACATGGTTCCAAAAAGTTAATGCAAACAGACACTTGTAAAGAAAAAAGTTTCTGAAAGCTCTCATATTTTCTATCATACTGGTTTCTGACTCCTTGGAGATCCTCAATACTTTTCTTCTCTGTCCATCTTTGTTCTAATCCTGTAGCAAAACAACAAACAAAAACAAAAACCAGATTGTATCATTAAACGGCTATGCAGGAGCCATCATAGAGATTGATTTTTTAAGGTTCCAATTTCTCATCTCTCCCTTTGACTCAAAAAGGAATGAAGGCACCTATTATCATTCAGGAGAAGCATTCTTTATTAAAAGCACATCACTGAAATTTCTATTTGGTAAATATGCTGTATTTAGTATATAATGAGTCTGTTTCTTATAAAACATGTCTGATTTCACAGGTGACTAAAATTTGCTGCTTAGTTACAGAATTACTGCTGTGATTCAATGTATTATGAAGGCTTCCCACAACTGTATAATACACTTCGATCAGAAAGTACAATATTTGAGGTCAGTATGGTCATTGTCTCCTCACATTCTCTCTTGAAGGATATGAACTAGATTCAGAGACATTTTTTTAAATGGACTTGTGACTATAAAACCTGGACTGAAACATAGGATGGAGGTTCAAGAGAGTGAATCAAAATCTGAATCTTGTTAGGTTGCTGAGATTGGTCATTAGCGCTTATTTTAACTGAGGAGATCAGGGCAGAAGTCCACAGAAGAGTTTGCTTCTTGTCTGGGCTTGAGCATCTCCTGAATTTAGGCTCAGAAAGTGGGGTGTCCCCATGTCTGATTTGTTAGGTGTATACAGAGGACACCAAACGCACACTGAAAATATTTGCATGCTACACACACAAAAAAATACCAGTTGTAGAACCTCTGTACACAAAATCTAGCCCTGATCTAGGGACACTGACCTCAAATGTCTCTGTTGTGAAAGAGAGGCTTATTTAAACACAATTTAGAGAAAAATCATAGTCGTGGCTTTGCTTTAATTTTCCCTAATGGAGGACACTTTTCCTTTCTGAATGTAAGACTGTAAGGTAGCTGGCCTCCCTTTGTTTAAGTCAACCACTGTGAACACCGCCTTAAATCACCTTTTAGATATTGCCATAAATCCATTAGACCGCCCTTCCGAAAGAGGAACTGGTAAGAACTTAGCTAACATTTTTATGTGTGTAAATCTTGATTTACAGTTGTTTTCCAGATTTCTGAATCTTTTTGTTTCCTTGGAATATTCTTTCTCTCTTCCTCCTATTACTTTTAAATTGTAGTTGTTGTCTGAAGATTTCCATAGTGCTTATTCATGATTGCACTGGTTTTCAACTTTCCCTTGATATTGAAATGGCTAAATTGTGAGTTTAGATTTCTAGTGACTCTACAATGATTTCTAGTGACTCTACAATGAGACAGTAATAGCTGTCACTTGTTGGACTAAAGCTACAACCTTGAGGGCTACATCCTCTGTACCATTAACCATTCCACAAGCTTTCTTAGAATTACATTACTGGGTCTAAAATATACATTTTCCTTGATCTAACACAACCTATATTACAAAATCTCAACAGTACAACAAAAAGCAGTCCAGTGAGTTCTTCTTTTATGAAGAATGCATGAAACTAGGCTTGGAAATCATCTAGACATAGTGGGGCAATACGGCAAAACTTTTCCAGCTGTTTTCCAGATTTTCATTTGGAAAAATTATATGCAGTTTTACCATCATAGTCCTCAAAAGGCATTTGGGTATGTGCAGAGAACAAAAGATAATCAGCATCCTCTATCCTGTTCTTCCAATTGTTTGGACAACACTACTAATGTGTATGTAATCAAACAAAATATGTAGCTTCAAGAGAAATCTGAAAAAAAATCTACCTTGAAATCATTATTTCTTCTTAGGACAAAATTTCAGCAATATCCAGGGACTAGGTGAAAGAAGGATATAATTCTTCTACATGCTTAATTTTCTTTCTTGTTCCTATAGCCTGGCATTCAGTCAAATTATTTACGAGTACCTTCAAAGTTTCTTTAGAACACCCTATGAAGCAACAAAATTAACAACTGTTATAACACATGACCTATGATTTGGGGGCTAACACTGAAGAAATTATCCTTTATAGTTATATTCCTTTCAATTCAGAAATATCCTCAAGTCTTCAGACTTGACAAGAAGGGCATTACCAAGACATAAGCACAGAAGCAACCCAGTAGGGTAAGCAAACCAACTTCATAGCAAGAAATTGTCCTGTTGTTTAAAGAGTGAGAGAAGAGATCAAAATTGAGGTTTTATGAGTTTTTCCAATATAAACTTTCATATAAGAAATGTACAGAATGCATTGAGCTATGATGGTTCAGTATTAAGGCATGCACTTTGCAAATTATCAGTATAATACAAAACTCAAATGTTAAAAATGTCTTTCATATGGATGAAACATATCATCAAGTTAGACCCATTCCGTTAAATCACTGTGACCCTCTTAGCTATGGGTATAGTGCTAATACAAAGAGCCTACTATTTGGTCAGCTTCTTTAGACAAATTTACTGAACATAAGCAACTTTACTTTCATTTCTTACCCACACACTTGAAAGTATATCCTCCACTTGTTAATAACCCTCTATGGAAAACATGGCTTATTTTCAAATAAGATGCAGAATATAAAACAGTTTTAGCTAGCTAGAAAACATATAAAATCAATAAAATGAGAAGTTTCTCACCAGACATCCCTGCTCTCCAAAAGAGTAGAAAATGTAGTCAGGAAAAGACAGAAAGAAAACTTCCTGAAACTCTGTCCTACTGTGTAGCAATACTTAGGAACGCCCAAACTTTTAATATAAACTTCTGTGCCATCTATTGACAGTTTATGAAATGGCATTTGCTTTCCTCCAGATGTATTTTCCACGTACAGCATTACTGTAATTTCCCCATTATTTCATTATTATTGAACTATGTGTTTTCACATTTTGCAATGGATCAAGCAGGGGAAAAAAAAGTTAATCTTTTACCAACTCTCTGTCTTCATCAAATTGATATGAAAATAAGTACTTCTTTTGAGCAAGTTTTACACTGAAATTCAAACAACTTCCTCTCTGAACTTAGTAATAATCTAAGTCCATATGCATTATTCTGATTAATTTTTTTTCCATTTAGCTATACCAATTTAGTTGTCAAGTTCTTACCAAGGCTGGTTTATAAAAGTACTGTTTGCCTTATTTTAATTTCCATTTAATGAGAATGGAAAAATAATATCTCTCTCCTTCTCCAGCAGTGTTGTGATTGAGTTAAACAGTGGACATGGAAACAGTGGGTGAGTGGGTGGGGTCTTTTTTTTTTTTTTTCAAATTAAATTAAACCAGAGCAGTAACTTCGGTACTGAATGCCCAAACACTTGGGTTATTGTTGTGGCAAAGACATAAACCAGCCTCTCTTTATTTCCGCATAATGCTGGTCAGAAATTCCGTCTTAGCTGAGATCGAAATACAGAACTGCCAGAGTACAATCTACCTTTCTGGGTTAGCATACTGTAACACATTCATGAGTTAACATTTTAATGATTCAGTAAGTAGAGGAAATAATCTTAAAAGTTACTTTTTCACTTTAAAGCTTATTCTGTACATCATATTTTATTTCTCAGCTTCAAGTGAAAAGAGGTCATTCAAAAAAGGAAAGGAAAGATAGGACAGATAGTAAGTGACAGACTATGGACGATTCATATTCTCTGCTGCTATGCGGATGAGCCTTATGGTGGTACTCTATGGTTCCTTCTCCATCTCTGTCAATACAGACAAGAGTATTCACAGCTAGTTTCCAAATGACAACTTATAATGTTGTTACATACAAACCTCACCATTGTCTGCCCTGAGCTGGAAAGATTTTGTTATCCATCCTTAGGATGAGTTAAAATCCTAAGGTAAGACCTTGCTTCTACCAAACATTCAGTCCTGTTTTGGAATGTAACAGTTTAAGTGCTTGAATATAACCTACCTATTACTCTAATGAATACAGAACCAGACGTACATTTGGTTAACATGTAATAACTGCTGCAAATCAGAGACTCAGTCAAGAGCACCTCTTCAATTAAGCGACAGTATGAGCTGGTCACTGCCATAGTTTGAGTTCTCCAGTTCTGCCTAGATACTATAAAGATAGATAAAGCATATGTTAAACAGTAGAACAAGCATATTACCATTAATTGCATGCCATTAGCCCTCAGATTTCCCACTCAGATTTCCCTGTGCAATCACTGGAAGATGAATATATTCCTCAAATGTTATGCATACTTCTGTGTTTTCTTAAAAGTAGCCAAATGTAATTGTTTCCTTTCATATTTTCATTATATTTATCTATTTATTAAAAGGTAAGTATCTTTTCTGAAACCCATTAGGAAGATGATGACACTCAACAGTAATAACAAACTTCATTGAAATCTGAGATGAGTAGAAGTGTTCAATCTCTATTGCTCATTCATTCCAAAACCATTTGCAATATTACCATAGCGAGAAAATACAAGTGAAATTAATTACTGAAAAGAAAGAAAATTAGAAAAATGCAAGTGCTAAATTCAAGAGTCTAATTTAGGAACTTAGGAAACAAATAAATCCTTCTATCCCAACAGACAGACATACACATTTACACACTTATAATGTTAATTTCATCCTGAAGTAATAAATTTATGTTACAACAGTGATTCATACTGTCTTGCAGTTCTAAAACATGCATGGTCTTGTACAGAATCTGCAAAACTGACAGTGTAGGATCTACTTTACAGTCAAAATTACCATCCATCATGGGGAAAAGCAACCTCCAGCTACTGAGCTTCATCTCTCGTGACTCCTCCTAAGACACTGCCCTTAGTCTTCCACAAGCTCCACTGAAAAGCAGAGGGAAATCCTTAGGGCCACTCTAGATTTCATTTTCAATAAATACATCTAAAGATGCTAGAACTACCAGCATGCCTTGATACTTAAATTCTCATTGAAATGCCTTCAAAATAAACTTATCATTTAGTGATATAAACATTTGTTCTGCTACCACCTACCTTAACAGGAAACTTCAGAGACTTTTGCCTGATAAGCGTGTAAGTCACGTAGCACGATCCGTATTTGTGAAGCATGCTTCTGAGAAACGGGGCTTTATTTTGTGACCTCCTATAGCAGCTCTCCTCAGTGATTCACAACATGTATTATTTTGCTTCCTGTGGCAACAGTATTTCTTTCTTCAGCAAAAGACGACTAATGGTAGGAAGGATGCTGTGATGAATAGTGGAACCGCCTTTTATCACAGTAAAAGGGCATGCTTCGCCTTAAAATGAAGTGGCAAAAAGAGGAAAGGGTATGAGGAATTAGACAGAGACAAGAACCACAGGTTGTTGGGCAAGAGCCTGCAATCCCCTTGTTCTACCAAGTATTTCTTGCGCGGCTGCGGACACCCAGTGCCGACACTGACTTACTGGAAATGTCTGTACACCCATCCCAGTTTCTTGTAGCGGCATTTCCTGTAAACACAGGTATAGCGAAGGTGCAGAGTGGCATCTGAAAAGCTACGTCTCTGTTTAGTTCCGCAGCCCCACACTTCAGCAGGGGGTTAGCTGCAGCTCACTCTGAGGAAGGATTGAAGTTTCTACAAACAAACAAAAAAAATGGACGCCAGCTCAGTGATTAGACTCATTTATACTTAAAATGCCTCAGTATGAACGTTATCACATCAGCGTTGTCAAATTTACCCCTTTTGTCTGCTCAGC